GTCTGGCGATAAAGCCTACCATATTCATTTCCAATTGCCTTGTGGTCCTGGGAAGAGTCGGAAAGCTGTGCCTCAGTGCTCATGCCCATTCCATGCTTGCCGGCGACGTCAGGACCTGAGCAGCTGAACGGCTTCTTCCCGGACTGGTAAGTGCTTTTGCCGAGGGCATTGAGCTGGCGATCTTCGTGGACCAGCTATCCCCTTCTTTTCCGACAGCCGCTGTCGACCCTCTTGTTGACCCTGGGGCCCAGGAGGGGGGATGGTGAGTCTGAGGGCGAACAGGGGGCCCGAGGGCCCAAGGATCCGCGGGGGCTTGAGGAGCCCGAGGCGTATGTTTCCAAGGAAATCCAGGACGAAAGCATGAAGTTACATGTGAATGTCGGCCATTCCCGCCGGGGACATTTTGTTCGCGCCCTGAATGTCGGAAATGCGAAGCCAAAGGTTGTCCAAGCACTTCAGGTGTTCCAGTCGTGAATTCAGCTCTCGTGTAGGCTGGTGAAGAAAAGCTAGTCTTCCCCGCGCTCATCGATTCAATGAGCTGGTTGCGGCCGATCTGTTTTACGTGCAGGCGCTAGGAGAGACGCTCCCAGTCTTGACTGTGATCGACCGCGGGTCTGATTTGCAGGTGTGCTTCTTTATGCCGCAACGTCAGCTGAGGAGTGGACCGCCTTTTTCCATCGCTGGTTGAGACCCTTCGGGGTACCTGGGGTGATGATGACAGACGGGGGGGTGGAGTCTGGCCGGGGCCTTTTCAAGAGGCCTGGGGCATGTGGGCACGTATCAGCACGTCTGCGACGTAGAGTCTCCCTGGCAAAACGGGAGAGGCGAGCGACATGGGGGCGTCGCGAAGATGGCCCTGTTTCGCGCGGTGTTAGGGGCCGAAACCACGTCCTGTGGGGAGGTCGATGGCCTTCCTTGCGGGGTTGTCTCGGCGAAGAACCGATGCGCGCGCCGGGGGGGGGGGGCTTCTCGCAATGCCAGATGGTATTTGGGGGGAATCCTCGATTTCCACGATGCCTGCTGTTCGATGAGGCGCGTGGCGAGGTCGGGGTCGCAGACGTCATCCTGGGCGCGCCTGGCGCCAATTCCCCAGCCAGTGCCTTCGCTCGCAAACGCGCCCTTCGAGAGGGGGCCAAGAAGGCCGCGGTGGCCATGGGCGCTCGTGAAAGACGGGCCGCCGCGCAGAAGGCCAGGAAACGCGTCGACAAGATCTCCCCCCCTGGGGCCTGGGTGCATGTCCGGGGACAAGGTGGAGGTGCCCAAGACAGGCCAGGGGGGGTGAAATCAAACTAAGTAGGTGGACTGGTCCGGGGCCGTGGTGTTTCAGCGAGGCGCGCCCGTCTGGGTCGCCGCGCGGTCCAAGCTGTTCAGCTGCAGTCAAGAGCAGATTCGGCGGGCCACGAAAGACGAGTTCTTGGGGGCCGAACTTTTGGATTCCCGTTCGTTTTCCGAACTGCGCCAGACTTTGCAGTCTCCTGGGCGTAGAGTGGGAGCTGCCGACGTGGAGGCTGTGGGATCGCCGCCACCTGAAGCATGGGGCCGGGAAGAGCGGGTAGCTTCCGAAGGGCCAGCTCCTGTTCGCATGGCTCCGTCAGAGTCTGAGCCGCCCGGGGGGGGGCTGAGGTAGGGGGCGTTCCGCCTCTGCAGCCCGTCGAGGAGGCGTCCACTGACCGATCACTTTCGGCGGGCAGCAGTGGCCGACCCTCTCCGTGGCTGGCCTCCAGTGTCCCAGATGTCCCGGAGATGACGAGGGGAGAGGGCGATTCAACGGATCCTGGACGACTCCCCGAGTTGAGTTTCCGAGCCGCGCGCCGCTGAGCGACGAGAGGCTGGGGGTCCTATGGGGCCGCCTCCGGCTCGAAGACCGAAGCTCATTCCTGTCGTGGATGCTCAGGACGGGCCGTGCCAGGTGAGAAGTGTCGTCCTGAAGAGGAGGGAACAGGCGATGAGAGAACGCTTGCAGCATGATGTGTGGCTCTGCTTCCGCCGCGCCGATGGACAATCGAGCGCCGAGTCCAGCGCGGGTCAGCCGCGCGGCGCGCCGCGCGAGCGCCGACAGGGAGGCCCATCTCCAGCTGGGGAGGGGTCGCGGCCACCCAGGCGAGAGTCTGGCCGAGCCCCCCGGGGCGACGAGGAGGGACAGGGTGGGGATCCGTATGGGGAGTGCGATTTGGAGCAGAATCTTTGGGAAGAGCTCTGCTCGTGGTTTCGCTTTTTTCGGGCGGGTTCTAGGCCCAGGGGTCGTCGGTTTCCTTCCCGGTTCCCATGGGGGCGAAGCAAGGGGAGGGGCCACCTTCGCGCCGAGTGGTCGAAGCTTCGCTGGAGAACCTCTCGCCAGAAGAGAGGCATTTTTCCAACGAGTGGAGAGCCGTCCTTGACTCCGGAGCCGCTCGAGTTTTGTCTGCCTCCGAGACCTCTCTCGTGAGGAGGGGGCTTGCCGACGGGATCCTGGGGTCCAGGATGCGGTTCAAGTCTCGAGAGGAAGTTGGATCTGGGGGGGCCGCGAAATCCAGATGGTGCGTCCAGGGTCATCGCGACCCCGGCAGCGAGGAATTGCATGTTTACTCCCCCGCCCCACAGTCCGAGAGCATTATGATGGCCCTTCAGGCCATGTGTTCCCAGGGCTGGACGCTGGAGATAGCCGATTGCAAGGGCGCTTTTTTTGCCCGTCCGATCGACTGGTGAGGCCACAAGGATCGATCTTTTGCGAGCCGTGCCAAGGTCTGAGTCTGGCCCCTGGAGAGCTCATAGAGCTGGTGGCGCCTATGTATGGACTCAGCGACGCGCCCTTGCTGCGGCGTCGGACTCTGATTCAATGGTTGAGTGGCGACGGTCTCACGAAATCTCTTCTCGAACCGTGTCTGTGGGTTGCGCGCTCGTCTCAGGGCGAGGTTCTCTCGCTGGGTCTCATGGGGGTGGGCGACCTCACGGCTGTGAGCTGTCCTGGGGGGCGCGCTGAAGGCAGGGGGGGGAAAGGGCGTGGGCTGATCAAGAGAAGCATATTCTAGAGCAGCTTTCCACGATGGGACTTGCTAGGGAACGCCGGGCAGACCTGGGCGCCGCGCTCGCCCCCCCGGGAGATTGACCTCTATCGGGCGGCAGTCGCTCAGATCCAATGGCTTGGCAGGGAAAGCCGACCTGGCGTTGCGGCTGGCGCTTCCCTGCAGAGTGGTGCGTTGCCCTCTCCCACCGTCAGCCATGCCGTTTTGTGTATCGACATAGTATAGCATCCCAAGAGTGCCGCCGGCCAAGAGACTGTCATCTGGCCCCTGGGCCCATCCAGTCTGGCGCGTGTCACGGTGTCCGACGCCGGGGGCCTGGGGCCCTCGAGGCGAGACGGGGCCCAAGGAGGGTGTCTGGTCTTAGCGGCGGACTCGACGATTAGACAGAACCAGAGGGCGAGAGTTTCTCTTATCAATTGGAGGTCGATTCGTTGGAAGAGGGTTGTGGCCTCGACAGGGGCGGCTGAGACACTGTCTCTGTCAGCCGCGTTGGCAGAGGCTCAATTGTTGCCTATTCTTTGGCGCGATCTGATTTTTGCAGATGTGAGACGCCAGATTGGCATCTTTCTCAGTCCCCTTCTCGGTCGTTTTGAGTCGTGACTATGCCCTGTCTGAAGGAGCTGAGCCCCTTTCGGTAGTAGATGCTCAGTCTATTTTCGATACGTCGTCGAAGAACACAGCAGGCCCGAGAGCTGGCAGAAGCAATTCGATAGAACCGGCTTTCGTGAGGCAGCCCCTGTGCCATAGGCTCGCAGGTGGCGTGGGCCCCGCACGGCCGAACGGCCGCCGACGCTCTGACCAAGGCGGATCCATGCCGTGGCAACCTGGCGTGGACCGATCTTCTCCCGAGGGGTGCCATGATTCAGGAGGGAAAGAAACACACAGACACAATGAATCGTCGACTCCCAGGAAAATGTGCAAAAATATGGGAAGTGGTGGGGAAGACAAAAACCCAGAAAATATAGGAAAATATGGGGGATACTTTTATTTGTGTGTATTTATTTGTGTGTTCCAGTTCCCCTTCAATGATGCTGGTAGATGAAGAAGGCCACCTGACCGAACGGTTTTTAAGTAATTATCTCAAATCCCGCTCCCGTCGCGCCTCCAGCCAGCAGGAATCGAGTTCGCTTCTCAGTTGTGAAGCCAGGCGGTGGGGATCATTCGACTTCGGCTGTGTTAAATTCACGAAAAGTGGTCCCGCTGATGTCTCTTTCCTTTTTTTCTTTCTCTTTGGGCTTCCCATATCCTTTTAGGCTTTGCGCGCCCTGCCTGGGCCAGGCACGAATAGCGACATGTAGTCGATGGTGCCCCTCTCTGGTAAACTGATGTCTTCCTTTTTTCTTTCGAGCCACTTTCGCTGCATCCGTGGAGCTCCTGCAACGTTTATAACGAATGTGTTCGGCGCTAAAGCGAGAACCACATTTTGAAAATGGGCGCCCTCAATCCGTAAATCTCTTGCCCATCAAAAAACGAATAAACGTGGCACTAAGACAAGAGCCACATGTTGAAAACCACCCGCTTTCCATTTGTGAGATTTTGCCAATTGTAAGCTTTAGGGTCATAATTGGTGAGGAAGTCTCCAGCGAAACGCCCGGCCCCCCCCAAAATTGGCTTCGGGGTGCGAGTGGGAGAAGGTAGCTACAAGGAAAAGGAATGGAGGAGGAGGAGGAGGAGGAGGAGGAGGAGGAGGAGGAGGACAAGGAGGAAGAGGAAAAGGAGGAGGAGGAGGAGGAGGAGGAAAAGGAGGACGAGGAAGGAAAGGATGGTGAGGTGGTTTCGGGGTGGGCAGGTCGGCTGGTTGGCCGAAGGTTTTGGGGCAGCTCAGCAGGCAAGCTGGTCTTTTTGGCGCCGAGTAGCGGGTGCGATCCCAGGAGCACCCTTTTGTTGCTGCTGCTGCTACTCGTCCAGACCTCGTCCCAACCTTCTCTTACTTCTCTGTTTCGGCAACCCTTAACTGCCCCCCCGTTCCCAAAGCTCTCTGTGGCCACTTCCACCGAGGACGTGATGGAGCGGTACCCCGCGTTCGCTGCGGTGTCCCCGAGGGGGCGGCTGCCGGCCCTGGACCACGACGGCGAGCACGTTGAGGACCCTTGTCGTTACTCTCTGCTTGTTTGTTCATCAGTTCGCCGCCTCACTACCCTCATCAGCTCCGCGTGTGAGGAGCCTGCACGCGCGCACAAGAACTTCATGCTCTGAGCGTGCTTCGACGCCCGCGGTTTCCTCTCCGCCGTCCCACCGCTCCCGCTCCTGTTGTGCCTCATTTGGCCTCGTAGTGGCCCTCGGCTGCCCCGACAGCGTCTTGGTTCCAAGTCGCCGCGACAAAGAATGTTCATCCGTTCGCCGAACCATTCAATCTAGCCACCGGCCATCAGCACACGCTTGATTTGTACAACTTACGGTAAGGCTGTCACGTTACATTTCGCCAACTTTGCCCAGTGTACTAGCATTATCAGATTTTTGTAGCCCGTTTGGCCCGAACCATCCGTGTTCGGGCCCATCGGCAGTCCTCGACCCTCCAGCTTTGTTTCCTTGTGCATCCTCACCCGGCTACTCTTCCAATGCCGCTGCTCAAGCACAGGGGCCGTGCAAAGAAGGGGAACGGTAGCAGCATGCCTTTGGTCAGCGGCACAGGCACCGGGGATGTGTTCCAGTTCCTGTTCCGCCGACACACCGGCCGAGTACCCGCGCAAGGCCCCCGAGAGGCCAGACCGGCCTCACGGATGCCTGGAGCTTGCTGGGCGCGCTTCGGCGAGAGCGTTGCCAGGACGCTTCCCCTGGCAGCCCAATGGTTCCTACCAGAGCGCTTCCCTGAGGCGCCTTGATGCACCCGTCAGGACGCTTATCTGGGCAGCTCTTCAGTACCTGCCAGGGTTCCTCTCTGAACCGCTCGAAGCTGCCTGCCAGGACGCCTCCCCACCAGGCCCCGTCGCTGCGCGGCCCCAACTCACACCGACCTGGCTTGCGGAGAAGCCGTGGCGAGCGAGCGGCTCGGCGTCGCCATCTTTGCCACACCGAGCAGACGGCTCGCACCCTCGCAGCGGATCGCCCGATCACCTTGCGGCGCGGCTGCAGCCCCAGGACGGCCACCTCAGCCAACGCCGCCGAGGAGGCCCAGGTGAGCCAGGTAGATCCACCTCCTCCAAAGACGGCTTGCCGACTGGTCCTCCCAGTAGTTCGACACCGGGTGGCAATGCACGTGTTGCAGAGATAGTCGTGGGTATGCAGGACTGTGCGCTCCCCGGCTACGCTCGAGGTGGATCCGTTCCTCGTCATTTTGAACGTCCGTCTGCCGTTTTGGCTCCAACGTGCTCGCTCTTCGAGGTTCAGCCAACGGGCGTGCAGGTCGCAGCGCCAGGCGCAGGCTACTCGCACAGACGTGTGCTTGCAGAGGCTTGGCCTAACTGAGACGCTGGGCAGCCTTCACGAAGAAAAGCTGCCAGGAGGGGCATTATTGCGTGCGTGGTACTTTGCTTTGCTGGCCATTTAGATACTCTTCATCGCCATCGGCACACCGATCGTGTTATTTTTCGTCACGGTTGAGGCCGAGTTTGTAGTGCAGTTCCGACGAGAGTGACGGAGAGGCGGTTCAGGCCCGGGGTTTCGGAGAGTGCGTTTCTCCACGCGTGCGCAGTAGAGCTCGTGTGCTGCCTCCACGTTTGCGGAGAGGCGTGCTTGCGAGGCACTTATGTGATATTTGTTTGCTGCATTCTCCCGCAGGGTCAAACGGTTAGTGACATGTGCCAGTTGTCTGCAGCAGGGCTCAGCGAGTCGTAACACGTGCCACCTCTCTTCTACAGATCCCTGAGGGCTGTAATGTTGAACGGCCTCTCCTCGCCGCTTCTTCCCTCTCCTCGTTTTCCCACGTATCATGCTCCTCCTCTCTCGACAATTCGGTCACTGATCTTCTCCCGCGCCGTGCGCTATGCTCCAGTACAGAAGCAACTCCAGCGCACCCGATTCGCGCGCGATAGTTCCAGTATCCGCAGCAACCATTCGGAGCAGCAGCATCACAGCACTATCACCTCGTGGATCAGCCTCTTCGTCGGTAACTGCATGGCCGAATTTTGGTGTCCTGTATGGCCAGAACATGTGATACTGCCGCTCCAGGCATTTTCGCTCGGGTTCCTTTCTGGCGACATGGTCGCCCTACGCCATAGGCCCAGCTCTCTATGATGCTTTTCGGGTGTTCGAGTCAGGGGCCAGGGGACGTTCAAGCTTGCGCGGCGCATTTTTGCAGCGCGCGCCCCTCGACTACCTCCACGCTTTTGGGGTCCCCCCCCCCACGACTCAAAATAGATGCTGTTCCCATCTGGTCTTTCTTGCTTGTTATTCATAGTGTCTCTTACCCCTGAGAGGACTCCACGATCATCCTCGAGTACATGCACGAGGTATTCGTCGGAGCCCCTTTGCTGCCCATTCGGGCAACTCTGAGCGGACTTTGATCGCTGTTCCAGCAGCCACTGACCAGGAGCGAGGGAATATCGGCCAGGCGCTCTGTCGTGAGCCATCAATATAGCAGCGCACGCTCGTTCGAAGACGCAGCCGTGTCCCGCTGGGTCGCGGTTGGGTCGCGGGGGGGTCGCGGAGGGGACGACGACAACAACACCAACAACAACACCAACCACAACAACACCATCAACAATAGCAACAACAAGCAACAACAACAGCAGCAACAACAAACAATAACAATAATTCTGTCTGCGAATGCCCACTTCAGGCACGCATCTCGGGATGGCGTAAAACCGTACGGCCTCCTCACTCTAATCAATAAGTTGTCCCTGGCCCCCCTCGTCGCCCCTGTGCCTCTCGAGCAGGCCTTCTCAGACGGCGGCGGGGCTTCTCAGAAGGCCCAAGGTCTTCCGAGCTTTTTGAGAAGGCCCGCTCCTTCTCACTTCCCCCAGGGCTCGTCGCCGACATAAGGACCAGTAGAGGAGCGCGCCGAAGGCGAACTCAGGCGAACTCCATTGCAAGGATGGGGGTGGCGAGGGGCATGCGGCCACCCCCCCGAAGGGCTCGGGCACCACTGCCAGCCCTCCCGCCACCTTCCCCCTCCCCTCGCGGCGGCGCCAGTCTCCGCGAACCAGGCTCGCGAGCTCGCGGAGCGATTCTGGCGGTGGGCGGCGGAAAAGCACGGAGTCGGCCTCGAGGGCACCATGCCGCGCGTGGTATAGCTTGCCCGGGTCACTCTTCTCTTAGCTATTTTTCGGGGGCGGCCAAGAGGGGGTGATGCATCTTCAGCAATTTTTTTCGCTATCGCTTGCCATTTTCGCTCAAGCGTCTTCAACTTGGGCGTCCGATGCTCTTGCACCCTCGCCGCGCTTCCCTGTGATCGTCAGGTCGTGGGTAGTAGGTATTTCCCAACCATCATGTGGTGTTCGGTCCTCGTGTTGAGGAGACAGCACCCCGCGCCTCACTCCTCCCGCTGCCCCCTCCCTCCCTTTCCTCCCGTCCCGGCCTCGTTTCTCGGCAGAGCCAAAGTGGCTGCGGTCGCATGGCACCGCCACGCCCATTTCGGCACACCCCTCACACGTGTCGTGGCCCTATAGGGAGCTGCACCGAGGGCCCAGTGGCTGCGCTCGCATGGCACCGCTGCTCCCATTTCGGCACACCCCTCACACGTTTCGTGGCCCCATACGGTGCTGCACCGATGGCCCAGTGGCTGCGCTCGCATGGCGCCGCCGCACCCGTTTCGGCACACCCCTCACACGTTTCGTGGCTCCATACGGAGCTGCACCGAGGACGTCGCGCCCATTTCGGCACACCCCTCACAAGTTTTGTGGCCCTATAGGGAGTTGCACCGAGGGCCCAGTGGCTGCGCTCGCATGGCGCCGCCGCACCCGTTTCGGCACACCCCTCACACCCTATAGGGAGCTGCACCGAGGGCCCCAGTGGCTGCGCTCGCATGGCACCGCCGCAACCATTTCGGTACACCCCTCACACGTTTCGTGGCCCCATACGGAGCTGCACCGAGGGCCCCAGTGGCTGCGCTCGCATGGCACCGCCGCACCCGTTTCGGCACACCCCTCACACGTTGCGTGGCCAATAGGGAGCTTCACCGAGGGCCCCAGTGGCTGCGCTCGCATGGCACCGCCGCAACCATGTCGGCACACCCCTCACACGTTTCGTGGCCCCATAGGGATCTGCACCGAGGGCCCCAGTGGCTGCGCTCGCATGGCGCCGCCGCAGCCATTTCGGCACACCCCTCACACGTTGCGTGGCCCCATCGGGAGATGTATCGAGGGTCCCACTGGTTGCGTTCGCATGGCACCACCGCGCAAATTTCAGCACCCCTCACACGTGTCGTGGCCCCATGGGGAGCTCCGCCGAGTACCCCAGTGGCTGCGCATGACACCGCCGCAGCCAGTTCGGCACAACCCTCACACGTTTCGTGGCCCCATGGGGAGCTCAACCGAGGGCCCCAGAGGCTGCGCTCGCTTGGCACCGCCGCGCCCATGTCGGCACACCCCTCACACGTTTCGTGGCCCCATAGAGAGCTGCACCGAGTGCCCCAGTGGCTGCGCTCGCATGGCGCTACCGCACCCGTTACGGCACACCCCTCACTCGCGCTCGCATGCGCCCACCGCGCCCGTTAGGGCACACCCTTGACACGTTGCGTGGCCCCATAGGGAGCTCCACCGAAGACGATACTCACAAGTGCGCTACTCACAACTGCATATGGTTGGGTCTTTCGCCAGGCTAATTTTGGATTCCCAGATCCCGATCTACTTCAAGCGCCTTCCTACTTCAAGAACCGATATGCTGTTGCTGTGTTTTGCTATTTTCTTGGAGGGCCTGAATCCAATCTACCTTATCCGCCTTCCTACCTCATATTTGGATATACTTCTTCCGACCGACGTGTACATCTGGGACGGGCTAGATGGCTGGGACCAGTGTCGGCCTTGCCTGGTGGCGGTGATCCGCTCAGAGTTGCCCAGCTGCACCCCGCACCTCCGGGCGCAAGTCCGGTTCTGGACGCGGTATGTCGACACGCACATCATCCCGCATTACGACAGGCGCCGAGGGGGCTAGCGCCAAATTTGAGACCGACCCATGGTGATGATCGCTTCTCTCGAGCATCAGATCGTGTGGGCTTCTTTAGGCATTCGATGCTTCGTATGTCCTAGGTTTTTCGTTGCCCTGGGTAAGAGCACCGTGGCAGGATCCATGTCGATCCGATCGGTCCGCCGATCGGTCGTTCTGCGATGACATCTCGGGCGACTGGGGCCTCCGAAGTCCCAACGCCGTGCGGTGACTGATCGCGCGGGGTCTGGAGGAGGAGGAAGAGGATGA